CCCCCCCCCCCCCCCCCCCCCCCCCCCCTCCCCCTCCCCCCCCCTCCTCCTTGAAATTCGGCCCGCGCGGTCCTAAATCAAAGCTAGGCGGTCTCGGAGAGCATCCCGCAACAAGTCCCCGTCCACGTTCGCGCTCCATTGTCGCCCCCCCACGTCGTTCCCCACAATGCCCAAGTCTACTCTACGCCGAACGCCGTTCGCATCGACCTCCCACAGAAGGTTCTCGTCGAAGTCGATCCCCGTCCAGGAGGATGTTGTGGAGAGTGCACACGGCCACGAATTGTTGTGGCAAGGTCTCCATGCTCGTCTTGTGGGTGCGCAAGAACAGACGCCACATGCACTTCAGTCGCCCGAACGCCCTCTCCACACACCCCCGCGCCACCTTCTGTTGCGTGTCGAAACGCTCTTCGTCAGGACGTTGATCGATTCCTCCGTACGGCTGGACGTGCGCTCGACAACGATCCCATCCTATTGGCTAGACCTGTTAGAGTCAGATCAACAAATAGAAGTAGACAGATTATCTAATTTAGATCCGGTCTACTACAGATTAATTAAAAGAATTAATCAGAATCCTCCCATACTTCAGACCTTGACTGCGGACTATGGTGGGTCTTACGATCTCCCCCTTCACTTTGACTTAGAGGACCCCCCCCCTCCCTCTGAGGCTTCAACTGGAGGACTGCAAAGTTGATTTGAATCCAGACCAACATGGGGTAGCGCACCCTATAGTTAAGCTCAGAGGTACCTCTCTTTCTAAACTCATACTTGATCCCATGAGGTGGCACTGGTTTATTCCGATTCAACAAAGATAAATGTCTATCCCAGTGCATCGTTACACATCTAAAATTGGCGCTAGACTTCTCAGAGAACAGACACCTAACAACCCCTTCAAGCTCATGAGCAAATACAGGCAAGAACAAACACTGATTGCATATAGAAAAGGCGTTCAAGTTACGCATTGGCAACTTCTTAAGGTCCTGCCCTCAGTTAAACTGGGGAGTTTACTTTGGCAACAATCTATGCTTGTGATTACCTCCGAAGTCTTCCTGATTGGAAGAGGCATGGATGTTTCAGCAAGTTGTGGGCCTGAAAGACCAATAAACATCTTTGGTTGGATTGCCCATTCTCAAAACGAATCTGGTCTTGGTGGCGCAAACACTGGTCGAAGCTTCCCTGGGCATCCTTTGATTGGTCGGACGAGTGCATCCTTTATGGCATTCCATCAACTGATAATAGGGGTGACTCAGCGGCCTGCTACGTGGCTCAAACCATCAGGGGCATTATGATGTCAACCATCTGGGGAGAAAGAAATTCTCACGTCTTCCGCCAAAAACGAGGTGTGGATGTGCAACTCAAGGCTACAATCCAAGCTTCATGTCGACACTGTATGTGGGCAGATTGGTTCCGAAAGGCAAAAGGCAGTTCAACCCGAAAGGGAACTGCCTGATGCTGGAATACCTGGGGTAATAGACAGAGTTTGGTCAAGCCTGGAAGCAATGGTAGACTCGTACTCTCTCCTTGGTTAACTCTGAAGCTAATATAAACTCATCTCATTCCCCGCACTAAAGCAAAACAAAACGCAACTAGGTATAACTCCCAATGGCAATAGTTGGTAACCTTCCTTTTGGCTTTTCAATTTTCAATCCTTCAGTCCTTTCCCTTTGAATTCGTTCACAAATGAGAAGTCGGACCCGGTTTCTAGCTCGAGTTTAAACTGGGTTAGTAAGAAACTGTATAATACAGTAGGCATAGGCCCTACCCGTACTGCAGCACAAAGGTAGAAACATAAAGTTATTTCAGTAGTTATTGTCCATGGATTATGAGTCCCACTTGTGAGGCTAGCAGACCACGCAGTTCAGACAACCTTTTGGCTGAGAGGTCTTACGAGCATGACTCATATAATTTTTGCAGAGTCAGGGAATAGAGATTACATAGCAACAATGGGATGTTGGACCCGCTTTCCAGCCGAGTGTACCTTATTTCGTCCAAAGTGATGCCTGGGAATGATCCCCGTGTCTTCTAATGCTTTCAAGTTTTACATTTTTCCGAATAGACTGTGGGGACCCCGGCCCCGACATGCAACTTCCTTATTTATAAGGGATGCTGGACCCGTTTCCCAGCAGGTGCTGCTCCCCACAAATAGAATGAAGCTTTGATTTTTTATTATTATTTTTTTTTAAACAAAACGCCCTTGCCAATACTAGTGGTGCTGGTAAGAGCGGACATCACTAGCACCGGGGGGGAGGCTCCATCTTTTGGTGGGGAGCAGCACCTGCTGGAAAACGGGTCCAGCGTCCCATATACAAACTGAATTTGGAATGTATTTATGCGAGCATTGATTACCCTGGGATCCAGGGGATTGACTGAGCCGACAACTGGAGAGAGGGGGGAACCTCTTTGCCCTGAAATCGGCGCCAGATCCCTACTGCTACACACTAGTTCCTCTCTTCCCCTGCTAACGAAATGCATTGAAAACGTATCAGAAGATGATCAAAGACAATGTGGGAGGTTCCTGCCAGCATTGATTACCCTGGGCACCAAGGGATTGATTGATCAGGATGTAGGAAAGTAAAAGAAAA